TGCTTCTGTATTGGTTTTCAAATTCATATCTATTACCATAGAAGTTATCTTAGAATCAATTGCTGCTCTATGATCAACACATACTTTGTATAAAATTGGCCAATTATCGATGTAGGATTGCAGACAGTCAAACATTGTATTCCAACGAACATCAAAAGGAAGTACCAAAGATGAACCACCAAGTTCTTTATATTTAGCAGCAGGAAAATGGTGAAACTTGAAATATTTAATAATTTGTTTTACCTTATTTTTAATAACTGTATCTTCTAAATCATGAGCTAGCAAATTTAAAATGTGTGATGAACAACCATAGGTTATTATGTCTAAATGTGAATATTCATTAGAGCTCAAATCTGATGTACTAAGTTCTAATCGCATTTTCCTCATATTGGCAGCATTATCTGTAACCATACTGCGAACATCACAACCATATGACTTACATTTTTTTATCGATTCAACAGCCAATTTTAATAAATACTCTGCATTATGACTTTCAGCTTTTGTCTCAATTGTATCAATTAAACATACTATTTCATCTTCTAAATTGTACACCGATATGCATATTATTGGTTCATTGTGTATGTTGCTCCACCCGTCCATTGCCATACATACAATTTTACCTTTAAGAATTTTTTTAATKTCTTCATTCACCTCGTTAAACACTTGATCTAACAACTTATTGCTAATTTGATCACGATTGGGAGGTTTGTAGCCAGGACGAATTAACTCAATCATTTTTTTAAACTCCTTATGTTCAACAAAAGTAAATGACGAATTTGTCGCATATATATATTTGGCAATTTGTACATCAAATGATTTTTTATCTTTATCACTAGTTCGTATAACAAACTTACTGATTGATGTAGATATTTGTGATCCCGTAGATGGTGTATCAGCACAAAAACGCTTTACGCGAGTTTCAACATTCATTGAACTATCATTGGTATGAGTAGTAGTATGCAATCTTAAACTACTAGAATCTATATTAATATTAGTAAAACAGATATTAATAACAAGTTAATACAATTTTGGTGACTTACTGTCTACTAATAATATCAACATTATCAATTGTCATTTAAGCCAAAAGAGTCATGTATTATTTACATACCATTATTATCATAACTTCTTGGTTCTTCATCGATTTGAACTTCATTTGATATTGAAGCTACATTACATTTATTTAGATGTGTTTTCATTCGATCTACTAGCCCAGACATTTCAAAATTGCATTTTATACACTTCGCTCGAGTACCTTTAGTAGTACCATTTGGTTTTATTTCTAGAAAATAATTCCAAACAGGATCTTTTCTTCTACCCGTTGAAGACATTATGTATAAAAGTATAAAACGAATGTCAATGTAAAATGTAGATTGTAGACTATACGACTATACCATAATGAGGCATGACTGCATGAGTGCATGACATAAACTTATATAATAGTTAATAATAGTTATAATAGATAATGATAATATTATTATAGATTATAATAAACACGAACAATGAACATGGATTTAACGAAAAAAAATTGAATCATTATCATCGTTAACCGTAATTTAGTTATCAATAATTATCATTATGACATTTAGATACTAACTGGCAATATACCGTAGTTTGTATCTTGAACATTTTTATGACAGTGTGACCAACATCCGAGATTAATTTTTGAAAATAAGAAAAATAATTTTGTTTTAAAAGACTATAAAAAAAACATGTTTTAAACGTTATGTTTTAAACGTTGATGTATTAAATGTTTAAAACAAGGAGTCATGTTTAAAACGTTTAAAACACACGTTTAAAACCAATTGTTTTAAACACTTCGCAACCCTGGTCACCACACCACACTTCGGCTAATCAAATTGCGCAATTGCTGCAGAACGGACATGGATCGGGAAATCACGCGATGAACCCGATCCTGCGAATGTGCCAACGAGTCTAAGTATTACACAAACAAACGACGTCCAGCATCAAACCGAGCG